CCCCAAAACCCCAAAACCCCAAAACCCCAAAACCCCAAAACCCCGTACGTAGAAAACTCAATAGAATTCTTATAATTAAAATAAAAATGAATAAAGGTGAAGAAGAGGAATACATCCCACCTCCAGTTGAGCCGAGAGGACAGAACCAAGTCGCTGACAGCCGTGGAACTATCGAAAGAAATAAGAGAAGGTTTGTAGAAGAGATTACCAAGATCAGACTCGATACTGATGAAGCTGAAAATGACAGAAGGATCAAGGAAAATAAAGAAAAGGACCAGAGATACGATGACATTCAAACTGAAGTTCATAATAGCTACCAAAAGAACATCCAGATTGACTTTACCTGGGAAGAACTTGAAGAAAAGGAGGATTGTGAAGAGCTTGCCCAAGAAATCGAAATGCAGAAGGCCAAGTGTCAGTCTATTATTCAAACTAAGGAGAAGTTAATCAAACAGTTCCAGGATACCCTCAAAGGAAAGGATGCTGAGTACCATAAATCTCTGGAAACTCAGTCCCTAAACATTGATAAGTTGATTGAAATAATGAGGAGACAATTCAATGCAATGAGAGATGAGTACAACACCCAGCTCAATGAAATCGAAGCAGCATACAAAAAGGAAAGAGAAGAAGTTTTAAATCGAAACAATGAAGAAATTAACAAATTATTTGAAAAACACCAAAAGACAGAAGAAATGTTCCTCGATAGGAGAACTAAGGATGAGGCAAAATATGCCGATGAATTAGAGAACCTGAGATCTAGTGAGGCCAATGATCAACAAGAGAGTAAGATTAAGCTTGAAAACGAACTCCAGACCTTGCAAAAATGTATGGAAGACATGAAAGCTGTCTATAAACTTAACGAAGAAAAGCTTGATTTCAATCTCCGTGTGTTGAAGGAAAGAGAAGATCATAACAAGACACAAAAGACTAACATGATCAAGAGATTGAACAAATTGAAAAATAGAAAGAGAAAGCTTGAAGAAGACTACAAAAAGGAGAATACTAAACTCAAAAATAAAAATATCGAACTTACAAATTCATATAAAAGAATTACACTACAGTTTAAAGAACTCCAGAAGAAATTTAGAAGATTCAAGAAAAGTGATGAAAGAAGATTCGAAGAGATTTGGTTCATGAACCAGAATGAGGTATATGCACTAGTCAACAAGATCTCCCAAGCTGATAGGGTCATCCATGAACAACAATTAGGAATTGAGTGGAAACCTCCAACTGATCCAGCTTTTAATAATCCTGACTTGAAGGCACATGTTTCACAGACAAACCAGAATGTCTCAGTAGCTGAATCGCAGGGACAGTCTAAATTAGACATTGGAGATACTCAATCTCACCTCACTGGAGCAGAGAAAACAGAGGAAGGAAAGATTCCTATTTCAAAGATCAAGGCGGTATTCCAACTTCTAATTGAAGAGATGCCTTACCTCATTGAAGACAAAATCGAGCTTGAATGTCAAAACCTAGATCCAAGAACTGCCTTCAAGCGTAGACTTGACGCTGTGAGAAAGTCTCTAGATATCACAGAGAAGACAACTCTTTACATGCTAGTGAACACTTTTTATGAATATTCAAAAAGTAAGAAAATTGAAGATTTAAATGAAGACAATGATGAAGAAAAATCTAATGAAAATGAAATTCCTATCGAAGCCAATGATGAAGACGAAGAACTTGACATTGAAGGATATGAGATCCTTGATGTCCTCAGACAATTCCAACAGAGGAAAGAAGAGTACCTCAGTAATGCTATGCTCACCGGAAATCCTAGGAGCAAAAAGAGGCCTACCTTCCAAAATGAAGAGCAGAAGAAAGAACTTGATCAGAAAGCTGAGAACTATATCTGGCAGAAGATGACCACTATCCTCGATGAGAGAAAACTGAGCGTATGGAAGGCCCTTGATTCAGCCTTTGCTAAGTACTACCAGCTGTTGGTTGATAGAAAGAACCTGATCGAAGACACAGCGTTGCTAAACACTCAGAATGAGGAGCTTAAGACTCTTTTGAACCAATATCTTCATGCTGGAGTGAACCATGAGCTCAAAATTCCTCCTACACAAGTGATCAGATTGGATATGTAAATTCAGGAATAAACCAATATTTCAATCAGTCTAGCTTTGAATGGGGTTTTGGGGTTTTGGGGTTTTGGGGGTTTGGGG